GGGTGCGTCATGACCATGTTCCTTGGGCCGCACCGTCGTGCCTCGAAGATTGCGCAGCGCGCGCAATTGTGCATCTTCCTCGGCTACGATCAAGAACATCGCGGCTACCGGCTCCTCAACCTTCGGACCGGCAAGCTCGAGAAGGTGCGCTACGACAACGTGTGCGTCTACGAGGACCAGACGGTCGAAGGCGCATACGTCAAGAAGGTCCTACAACGCGCCGCCAACCCCGGTGTTGGTGGCATCTCGTCCTTGGTCCCGTTTTGCACGCTGCCGGTCATGGAGATGCCGGAGACGTACGTGCCGTTGGTCGACTCGACTCGACCGGCCGCTGCGCCGAACAACTCGCGCGGCGACGACACGACGGTCGACGCGAGTCCGTCGCTGGACGACGCCCGCGCTGCTACGGTGGCGTCTGGTGACCGACGTCGTATCGTGTACACGGAAGACGGGGAGGACGAACCTGCGTCCGATGCTGTGGGAGGCGACGACGCTCCCGCGGTCGACGCTGCAGGCGCCGAGGACGCATCCGCTCAAGAAGCTGTGGGAGGACGCAAGCGCCGTCGTCGCGGCAGCAAGCGTCCCAAGCTCACGTTCCCCGTGGCGCCGGCCAAGCGCCCGCGCAAGAACACGCGCCCGCAGCGCTCGGAAGAGGCGCGTCGTGCTCCAGCCCGGTTCGTGCTTCTTACGGACGACGGCGAGAAGGAGTTTGACGTGCCGCAGTCGCACAAGCAAGCTCTCGCGTCGCCCGAGGCCGACAAGTGGCGTAAGGCGATGCTCGAAGAGTACAAGTCGCACATGACCAACCGTACGTGGCGCCTCGTGTCGCGTCCAGTGGGACGCAAGGTGCTCAACTGTCGCTGGCAATTCAAGCTCAAGGTCGATCGCGACGGCAACCTGCGCTACAAGGGCCGTCTCGTGATCAAGGGCTTCGAGCAGATCTTTGGCCTCGACTACGACGAGACGTACGCGCCGGTCATCCGCTTCGAGACCTTGCGCGCCATCCTGCTCTACGCGGCTTTGCGTGGCTGGAAGCTGCGCCAGTACGACTTTGTCACGGCGTTTCTCAACGCTGCGCTCAAGAAGGGTCAACTCGTCTACATGGAGCAGCCGGAAGGCTTCGCCAAGGACGTCCAACGCTTGGTGTGCCTGCTCATCAAGACGATCTACGGCCTGCGTCAAGCGCCTCACGAGTGGAACTCGATGTTGCACGAGTTCCTCGTGAGCCTCGGCTTCAAGCGCAACGAGAAGGATCGCGGCCTCTACACGAAAACTGTGGGAGGAAATGGCTACCGCGATGTCGTTTTCGTAACGGTGTACGTCGACGACCTGCTCATCCTCGGCGACGACAAGTACACGGAGCCGGTGATCAAGGCGCTCCTCGCCAAGTTCAAGATGACGCAGCTCGGCGACGTCCGCTACCTCCTCGGTGTCGAGATCGACTACATTCCCGGCAAGCGTCTGGCGTTCTCGCAGCGTCGGTTTACGCAAGAGATCATCGCCAAGTTTGGCAACATCAACATGAACCCGTCGATGGTGCCGCAGACGCCTGGTGCCGAGAAGTCCTGCGACATGCGGTCTTTGCCGCAGACGAAGCTCGACAAGGCGGCGTACCCGTACCGCAACCTCGTTGGTGCCTTGCAGTACCTCGTCACGGGCTCTCGCCTCGAGCTCGGCAACGCGGTGCGCACGCTGTCCAAGTACCTCAACTGCTACACGTCCGAGCACTGGGCCATGGCCCTACGCGTGGTCCGGTACCTCGTCGGTACGCTCGACTTCGGGCTCGTGCACAACATTGAGGAAGCGATGACGTACGACGGCCTCTCGATCGAGTCGTGGGCCGACTCCGACTGGGCCAACGACACCAAGGACTACAAGTCGATCACGGGCTACGTCACGAAGCTCAACGGCCAGACGATCTCGGCCAAGAGCTCCAAGCAGGACATCGTCGGGACAAGTTCGTGCCATTCCGAGACGATCGCGGCCAGTACGGCTGCGCGCGACGTCATGTGGCTCGAGCAGCTCCTCGAGGAGTGCTCGCTACAGCACACGAACTCGACGATGCTCATGGACAACCACGGCGCCATTTCGCTGTGTCAACGTCCAGGCTCGCACAAGCGCTCCAAGCACATCATGGTGCGCCACTTGGTGTGTCGCGAGTACGTGGAGAAGAACGGCCTGTCGATTCGCGCGGTTCCAAGTGCGCAGAACCAAGCCGACCTCTTCACGAAGGCCGTGACCATTCCCAAGTTCCTCGAGTTCCGCAGCGCCATCGGCATTGTCAACGTCAAGGAGGCGTTGGCCGACGCGCAAGCGAAGAAGGGCTCCTCGAGTGCGATGACCAAGCGCGTTGTGCCAGATCACGAAGTCCACTTCGAGCCCGAGCCGAGCTACGAGCTCGATGCCCTCTACGGTGAAGAAGATGCCGAAGACGATGTCGACTGCCTTGAAGGTGATGACGACGTAGTCGACGATGAAGATGATGATGATGAAGACGCGCAGGCGACCAAGGGTCGCAAGAAGGCGCGCGCCGCAGCCAAGGGGCTGGCGGCCACAACAACGATCCCAGATCGTCGGGTTGTGCATGGGCCGACTTCGCTACGGCGGAAGGACGGTGCCAAGGTTGACACGTTACGACGTGGGCAACGACGTGCGGCTATAGCGAGACGTCGCTACGGGGCCAAGAAGCACGCGAACAAGACGGGCAACTAGGTCGAAGAAGAGCCCGCCGTTGAAGACGGGGAGGTATGAGACTGCACCGGTACACCGGGGCAGGTCGAATCTTCAACGACTGGTTGTATCTTGATAAATGTAATGTATACAAGGGAAGGTGGTTTTCAAGTGACGACTGGGAAAGCCCTCGGGCCTCACTTCAGATTCGTACACTCGGGCTTTCCACCTGCCCGCACGCTATTTGCGCTGCAACGTCTGTGTGCTGTCTTTGCCTCGCCTGGTCAACCCTCTGCAAGCATCTACGACCTCTCTTAGTACCATCTACGACGTGCTCTGTGCTCTGCAGTCAGTGGTTCTTCCTTGGCGTCCTGCTCACGACGCAGCTGCCGTTGGGCATCAACTTTGTCGTTGGCCCGCTGCTCACCAACGTCCTCGATGCCCACTTTGACGTTGGGAGAGAGCGTATGCGCTCGATGCGCCCGAGACGCGGAACCACGTCGCGTACACGTGAGAGATTTCGTACGCTGCGACGGGTCTCGGCTGCCTCTGCGTCTTTCACTTGCCGAGCCAGAAGGCCGAGGTCGCCGACCTCAAGGCACGTGGTGGCAGCTACCCGCGAGTGGCCAGTGTCATTTACTTTGCCCTTTTTGTTATTTTGGCCACGTCCGTGACGGGCACGATGGCGTCGATGTTTGATAGCACGCGCTGCCTTCGCCTCGCCGGCGGCAGCGGCTGCGACGAAGCGCCCTCCCAGTTGTACCTTCTCGGTATCATCGTACCATCCAGCGGCAATCCAGCGGTGCGCTTCTCACGTTGCTAGCGCTGGCGCTGCGGGCCACGCCTGTGTACACTAAATTCTTCATTTTCTGTACGTGTAGTACCAAGGGAATATAACAGTACATACCTTAGTCGACCTTCAAGTGCGTTTGTTGTTGATGGAGAATGCGGCATGGCCTTGGCATGCGGTCGTCGCTGTACGTGATTGGTTGTATATTTTCATATGCATGTATTTTAATATCTACGTATTAGTATGTGAATAAAACAAATCTCCATGGACGCATCGGGTTGGCTCGTCGTGGCGTCCGCCTGTCTAGATCGAATACTGAAAGCAAGTGAAATGCGATGACACGCGACGAGAGCAGAAAGGATATGCAGGTGCTCTGCCGTGAACAATGGCGGTGCCAGAGCCACTACTGCGTACTCGGTTTCTGTACGTCAACACATTCTCGCTAACATGAGCGCTCCAAGTGTCACCGTCTTGACCCAGGCCGACCTCCTGCGCACGGTCCTAAGCTACCAGCAGGGCGTGCCGATGGCGGTCGGCCTGGCCTGCCAACGCTACCGCCGCCACCTCGGCCACGTCTCCCAGAAGGCCCACCCTGAAGTGACGCATCTCATCGCAACACCCGCGCGCTTCCACGGCTTTGTTTTGTCCAAGCTCGTCCAACACCGCGATGTCACGACGGCTCTTGCCCTTCTCGCCACATTTTCCGACGCCACGACGCTCAAGCTGCCACGCGTCAAGCAAAAGTACACCTACACGATGGACTACGCCGCGAGAGCGCGCAGTCTACCGCTCCTAAAGGAGCTCCACGCGCGACGGCTCGGGAGCTGCTCCAACGCTGCCTTGGACGCAGCGGCGGCCAACGGCGACGTGGCCATCCTGGAATTTTTGCATGCCAACACATACCAGCGCTGTACGCAAAAGGGCCTCGCGGCCGCGCGGCGCAACAAGCATCTCGATGTTGTGGCGCTTCTCGAGGAGAGACGCGACCGGTGCCGTGAGACGACGTCCCATGAGATCTCGGGCGCCCAGTTTGGTTTTGCAGCCCCGTGTATAGTTCAATAATGTGGTCTAATGGGTCCCAGAGTGTGTCCGAGCAGCGTTTAATCAAAACACTAAGTCTCGTAGCGCGTTCCAGTAGTCTGCGTTTGCCAACCACCTTAAGCGTTCGCATACAGACGGTGTCGATGAGCGAAGCTTTTTGAATGACCCTATTCTTGGACCCTGGCTGGGGTCCTATCGTCGTGACGTGGCGTGCTCTCGTACCTCGATGACGCCTTACACTGAGAAGATATGTCTTGTGCATTCCGATCTAGTTGTGTAGGCGTTACGCTAGATGATGGATTAGGGATTAGGGTCGACGGCAATGTGCCTCCAAGCACGCGATTGCAGCGGTGTACGCCGCCTGACTGGGCATCCACTCGGCGCGGAGCGCAATGCCACACTCGTGCAAGAGCAAGAGAAGCGGCATCGGGTAGTACGCGTTGGCGCCAAGTAGAGACGCATCGATGGCCGCCGCTTCCAAGGGAAACCCGTGCGCGAGTAGCCAGCGCGCGCCGTTGATGTTGCGCTCTTGTAGCGCAGCGAGAACAACATTTGGTTGCACGGTCGCTCGATGGACGAGCGTCGCTGCCACGTCAAAGTGTGTACGCTGTATCGCAGCAGCAAAGGCGGCATCGACGTCGGCATCGCTGGACGCGAGGACGTCGAGCAAGTAGGCGGCAACGCGGACGTGGCCGTTGGCGGCGGCCCGTGTGAGCGCGTGCGAGGTCGCAGCGACGCCGAGCTCTACAAGGAATTGGATAACGTCGAGACGACCGTCTGCTGCAGCGCGCGTGATCGTGTTGCTCGAGTACGCAAAGCCGCGGGCAGGGAGCGTCTGCAGTAGCGGGAGCAGTCCCGCCGCAGCCACGTCGTCGACGAACCCAGGGTAGTACGTCTCGGGCACGTGCGTGCAGAGGTAATCGGCCAGCACGCTCTTCCCAGCAGCCACCGCGCGCTTTAGAACGCGTGGCTTCCACCCGATCGTCGTGTACGTTCGCAGTAGCTGGACAAGGCGGACGTCCGCATGCGGAATGCACGACCACGGCAGCCTCCGGCCGAGAAGACATGGCTCGTACGCTGCATCCCCTCTCAGCGGCTCGAAGCGTTGACAGAGCTGTGGAAGGTAGCGCCGCTGGTCCATGAGATACGACGCGATTGCGAGGCGGTTGTACAGAAACGCTGTCTCGATGGCTTCGGCGAACGCAAGGTCCGGGCGGCAGGCCAGAATCCGCCGCACAGCATCGATGTCGCCTTCGTAGATGGCCAAGTGCAGCGGGAACCGAGCGTCATATGAACCGTCGCGCGCCAAGCCGAGCTTAAAGCCAGGTATGCTCGTGATCAGAGCGTCGTCGTCGCTCCGCAGCGGCCGAAAGGTGGGCGGAAAGACATACCTGTTCTGGAGCCAGCGATCTGCTGTCACCAACGTGTCCTTGGTAAAGACATTTGCCTCAAGAAAGCGATATCGGACGTCTTCGTAGACGCCAAATTGGTAGCCAAAGATGACCGCGGCCAGAGGCGGCAACGTCAGCACGACGCTCGCCATTTGCAAATGCGAAGAATGTCGGTTGCTACAATCCGATCGCGGGGTCTTGGTTTTTGTATACCATACAAAACATAAGATATGGCGTGGCGGAACATAGTGTCGGCAGCCTGTCGTGAACTGTCTTGAGGTCATCGAATCCGAATATCATCCGCACGCGTACTTGGCCCTCGACAAACTCGCTGTCGAGGCGGCACTGGTAGTAGAACGGATTAAACTTGACGCAGTGGCTGCCTCGCACGTCGTCGAGCCCTTAGTTCAGACCACCGCACGTTGCCATCCGACGGACTCGACGTCGGGTCTTCACTCGGTTCGTGCGTGGGCTCATCCGAAGGCTCGTCCCTGACCTTCGGATGAACCCACACGATCATTCATTTGTAAAAATCTCGGCAGCGTTTCTAATAAGCGAGAAAAGGTCAAATGCGAATGCGCGCTCGTACGTTCGACGCGCGTGGATGGAGCAGTTTCTCGCGGCACCCGTCAAGCTGTGTTTTGAGCACGGCCAACAAGTGCACAATCTTGAGCCGTTGCCCGAATCAGCACGCTCATCTTAGCTACGCATTTGAACCTACCCACAGTCCGTCCCTTGGGCGGCATTCCAGCACGAAGCTCTCTCTTCTCCCCACGCACTAGCGTTATAGCCACGGGGCGAAAATGAGTACTAGAATTCTTTTGCTTAGCATGTATATCCCACCCATTTCATGCGCGGATGCGAGGCGCTCCGTCCGAATGATACAACTACCAAGCTCGAGGTTGTCACGTTTTCAGCTACCACGCAAACTCTTCCTTGTGAAAGTCAAAGCCATACTTCCGCGCGACGGATTGCACTTCGCGCGTGAGCGGATCGGGCCCGCACGCCAAAACGCACACCGACTTGCCGACAAAGATCGTTCTGTTGATCAGTTCGTCCCACTTGGGGCGGCGGGCGTTGTACGGTTGGTGCACCATCGACGCAGAATGCACGCTGCCTTCAGTCGACGCCGTCGTCACATAAAAGCGATAGACGAGCGACTCGGGCAGCGGGTACATGAGTGTCTCGGCCATGAGCAGATCGTTCGCGTCGCGCACCACCCAGTACAAGTGAAAGACAGCCCCAGGTTTGCCCTGTTTGTGCCGAAGCTGGTTAATCGTGCTCAGCATCGGTGTAATGCCGACGCCGCCGGCAACGAGAACGACGACTTGGTACGATGGGAGGTGCACCGACACGGTGCCGTACGGTCCCCCGAGCACAATCGGCAGCGTCGCTCGACCCGTACCCGTGCGAACGACGACGTCTGCGACCAACTTGTCTGCAAACCGTTCGGTCGTCATGGCCTTGATGCAAAACCCGATCGAGGTACCGTCCGGCGTGACGACGGCCGTGAACGGATGCCACTCAACGCCCGAGACACTCGGAACTTGCAGGTAGTAGAATGACGATGGGTTCATGGTCGCCACCCATTTCTTCGTCAACGGTGTCGATGGCAGCGTCAGTGTCACGGTCTTGGGGCCCGCTAGTTGAACGGCAGCATCAAAGGTTTGGCAGAAAGCGCGAACACGAAAGACGCCCGAGAGCACGTAGAGCGCGAGGGGTACAATCATCGCGTACGCAATCACAGTGCTGTGCAAGACGACAAAAATGAAGGCGAAGACCGACGCGATGCGGTGGTGCATGTAAAAGCGCGCATAGTGCTTGCGCCGAAACCAGCTCGCCACGACGAGCGAGAGGCCTGCTACCAGGGCAAATGCGCCAGCGATGGGCCGCACGGCGGACAGCCCATACACTTGAGTGCTAACGGGACTCGTCGCTGGAATGTACAGCACCAGGTGCACGAGGCCAAAGAGCACAAACAGCCACGAGCTCGCACGATGGAATTTCAGTACACGGTCATGGGACGAGCCAAATAAATGTTGCCAGTGCGGTCCGCGCGCAATTGGAATGAGCGAAAACATCAGGCTCAGTAACGAGAGGTGGCCCGAGATGAACGCAAAGCGAGCGTAGTTGAGAATCGGCGTTGGCGTCTGGAGATAGAGACTGGCACCGACGAGCGCACCGAGAAAGAGCAGCACGATAATGCCTTCTCCGATCTTGAGGTCGGCGAGAATCTGCACCAGTGGCGCAAGACCTTTGTCGGATTTGGGCGGAGCGCACAACGTTGTGTAGTTGATGAGGCGGAAACGACCCAAGTACGTGGCGACAATACCAAGCGCCAACATGACGCCAAAGACACCAGCTGCAATGACCGCCGTGTAGAGTGTGTTGAGCGGTGCATTGACATTGTGCGCCGCGTTGAGCGTCAGCTGAAGCGCACCGCTGGCCTTGTGGTCGGATGGGAATGACTTGGTGTCGTACGACCACGTCAACGTCGTGACGCCGCTCGGGTCAATGGCCACGTCCGAGTCGACAACGGCTGCAAGTCGCCGCTGAAACGTAAACGAGAGCACACCGTTGATGTGCGTCGACTGCGTCACGTTGATTGGCGATTGGTCCGAGTTGACGGTGGTTTCGCGACGGCCATAGCCCTTCATGGTGTAGAGCAACGCAGGAGGTGCCGCGACATCCAAAATCACAACGTTGTACGGTGTGTCGCCGACCATTTTGGGCGTCGACGCAATGGCAAGCGACCCCCACTGCACCGTGTCGTCCGAGATGTTGAACTGGAAGCAGACATACTCGTCTTGAACAAGTACCTTGATGGATGCTGGCGTACGGCCCATTGCAATGACGGGGGCCGCAGCAAACGCAGGAGACGCACACACGTTGGTGGTCATGGCTGGCGCAGCAGCGCTAAGAACCCCGACGAAGAGCAACTCGACCAGCGAGACGAGATGAGCTTTGAGACGCATCGATGGAACACACTACTGCCCTTACGGCAAGAGGCAGCAAAATCGTTTTTAGTTTCAAGATGAGCTCCGCTTCTCGTTCAAAATGGCCAAGATGGCTCTTCAGGCGAGTGAAACCGAAACGAGAATCCTTGCATTTCACGTCGTCCAATGAATGTCCTTCACTCGGACGTCAACTGGTTTAAACAACCTTGTGCGTTGGTTTAACGTCAACCAATGAAAACACTCCATGATGTGTAAGGACGCGATCTTGTCGGCCTTTTTTACGAATCCAGGTACATTGAGAAAGCGACGTCGTTGCCCGTCGTGCCTTCGGCCAACCATTTCAA